TTTATCCATATTTTACTTCCCATTCAATCCTCAGCCCTCTACAGTCGGCCACAGCCATCACACCACTGAGCATCTTTCCCCAAGGGCACCAATAATTATCTCCATGTTGCTGAATCCAACTAGCTTCTTTAGCTCTTATCTTGATACTTGTTAAGTACTCACTGTCAGCTGTCTACCCAGTTTCTATTTCTCCATTCTTCCTTTACAGCCAAACCCCAATTTTATTCAAGTTTCTACACTCTTTCCTCATGTGTTTCAAAGAAGGTGATCTCAACTTCAAGGGTAGATATACCATGAGCCAATCAGAGCACGGCTTTCCCCTGGTGACTGTTGCTGGTCCAAAGTATACACATGAACTAAAGTGGCTCACTCAGATTAAAAAGAAATACAGTTGGGAAGGGAAGACCACCCCTCACCTTTTATTCTTTTTTTTTAAGATTTTATTTATTTATTTGGTCAGAGAGAGAGAGAGCACAAGCAGGGCAGCGGCAGGCAGAGGGAGAAGCAGGCCTCCCGCTGAGCAGAGAGCCCGATGCGGGACTCGATTCCAGGACCCTGAGATCGTGACCTGAGCGGAAGGCAGAAGCTTAACCAACTGAGCCACCCAGGCGTCCCCTCACCTTTTATTCTTGCTCTTTCTTTTATGTAGATAATACATTTCTTCAATGTTTAATCTAGTTTTAGAGGGGATTTTCTGTTAATTTCAGCCTAAACCATCCTAACTGATACATTTAACCCTACTGGCCATTCCTTTCCTTCTTCCTATGGTTTCCATGATGCTTACGGTCCCCACCCGCCTAGTCTTCCTTCAAGTGCTCTGGCTACTACCTCACAATCTGCTAAGTTGGGGAGACACTGGCTTTTTCAAACTATGGGATATTGCTGAGTACAATGACATATGTTAAAGAAAACTTTCTAGGGGCGCCTGGGTGGCTCATTCAGCTAAGCGGCTGCCTTCAGCTCAGGTCCTGATCCCAGGGTCCTGGGATCGAGTCCCACGTCGGGCTCCCTGCTCAGCAGGGAGTCTGC